CCTTGTGGGCAATGAGACCTCACAAGCGATACTCCTTAACATTGTTAGCATAACCTAAGCACTTAAATTCTTTTTCTAATTTCAAGCTCTACTCGTGCTTTGGATTCCTTGAATAGTAGTAACACATCTGAGTTCCTCTTGATGAGGTACAACCATAATCTCCTAGAGTAATCATCAATTAGAAGAAAATACTTTGCTCCTCATAGGAATAATGCCATTGATTCCCTCACATAAGAATTATCCAAGTGTAATATGTGTTTACTCTTGGTAGTACTTCCATCAAACTTCAATATATGTTGCTTATTTATCACACAATGCTTGCAAAAAAAGGTAAATCAACCTCTTTGAGTCTAGGTAAGAGATGACGTTCAACAAGGATTTTTGCAAACCTCGCTCTAACATATGTCCTCTCTCTAACATATGTCCAAGTCGACACTGCTTCTTCTTGACTTGTCAATGCAACAATTGCATTTGTCTCTTGCCACGTATTTTCCAAAAGCACATATAAATTTACCACGATCTTCTATGCTTTCATCACTACCAGATTTCCTCTCACCATCTTTAAGATTCCACCTTTAGTGTGAATTTTACACCCAGGTCATCTAATTGCTTAATAGACAATAAAGTCATTCATATGTCATACCTCTTGAACTATGCAAACAATATCAACATACAATTTTATTTTGATAGTACCAACATTAGTAATCTCCATGGCATGACTATTCTCTATGAATACGGATCCACCTGAGATAGGTTCATAACTCTAAAACCAATCTTGTGCTTGATGCTTGCAACACAACCTTTTGTGCTCACCAGAATATCTTCGTCCTCTGAGATACTTGCAACACAACCTTTTGTGTTTGATGCTTCAGAGTTCTTTCCTCCATTCTTCCAATGCCAACAATCTTTCTTGACATGCCCTTTCTTAAAACAATGATAGAATTTGAGATGCTTTTGACTTTGAGACGTCGATTTATCATGAATCTAACTCTCATTAAATCCACATTTTGTTTATCTACTCTCGTAATCACAAAAGCCTCTACTTGCTTTTAACTTTGCACCATATCTACTTTGTTCTTCCGCTTTGATTCTTCTTCAAGAATAGTTCTAGCAACATCCTCAAAGTGTAGGTTCCCATCAATGTTGTTATTTGTTATGTTGATGATGAGTTTATCATAAAAATTGGGTAGACTTTGTAGTAGAAGCTTTGCACATTCATTTTCAACTAGGTTGAAATTTACCAATTCAAGTTGAGCAAATAATGTATTTAGATGGTTGATGTGGTGTATCACTGATATAGACTCACTAATTCAAAGAGTATAAAGTTTTCTCTTCAAGAATATTCTTGTGTACAGTGACTTAACCTCATATAATTTGATGAGAGTGTCTCAAATCTCCTTCGTTGTAATCTTCACCGTAACACGGGATAGAACTGCATTTGTCATTATTAAGTGCAAATTTGTAATAACGTTTTCATTAATTTTTTCCGATTTTTTATTCGTGATCTGCAAAGTTTTTTCTCCAATTGCCACTAGACAATTGTCCTTCCTTAAAATTTCATTCATCCTCATTTTTCGTAATGAAAAATTATTCCATTGAACCTCTATATCTCGTACTTTGTTGTCCTGGTTTTAAAAAAATTGACTTATGCACTTTTCACTATGAATAATGCTGTCTACCAAAATAATAGTAGTATACCATGAAGTAGTACACCAAGTCAGTTTCCAAGAAAGATAGTAAAATCACTAATGAACACACTTAAGTAGCAAGTATTTCCTAATTAAAACCTTTTCCATACATACACTTTTCCATACATACACTTTCACACTACTTCTTAATTAAAACATTTCCCATACATACATTGTCACACTACCACACCTTTTCCAGTAAGAACTATTTTCAGATGGAAGATCAAATTAAACTATAATAGCTTCAATACCATTGTTAAGAATTATACTAACAACACAAACACACATAACTAAAGTAAAGATGAAATAAAATATTGATTATAAGTAAAAATGAAAATTTACCAATAGAGGAAATTACACACCCTTCTTTCTTGACCAAGGAGAAAATCAAATACTAAAAATCTTTAAAAAAATTAATATTCTCTCGTAGAATTTTTTTTTCTCAAATATAAAAGGAAAAGGAGGATAATGGAATGCTTAACTAAAGAAGCATGTTCTTCTTATTTAAGAACCAACAAGGCTTCCATATAAGTTCTCATCAATGTTAAGACTTCTTTCCTTAAAAAAAAAGAATGTGTTTAAATTTAACTATTTATGTTTCATATAAAAACATTTTTCCCCACATGTAAAGCTTTTGCCACCATCATCATTCTGTATCTCCAAATTTAAGCAGATATAAACTCATTCGAACAGAGAGACTAAAACAAGTTTTTCAAATTTCACGACTAAAAGAATATTATTTTTAAATTAGAATGACCACAAAAAAAATTAATTTGACCAAAACAATTAACCTAAATTTAGGGTAAAAGTTTTAAGTGAAACTTGCATGCTTTTAGTAACAAAAAGTTAGCTTCAGTTATTGATTTTACAAACTCATTTACCCGTTGCAAGCTTCTGATACGATTCGTATTTTATTTTATGAGATTAGCAATAAATGAAAAAGTCCATGTTCAATAACTTTAAGTGTTAAAAGTATTTCGTAATTGATATGTGTTTAAGTTGAAGAAAAACATAAATTCTGTATGATTTGAAGAAAGTAAGTTGTGCGTGGTATGAAAACCTAATTCATTCTTAATAAATCATAGTTTTGAATGAGGGAAAATAGATACTACCCAAGTTAGAAAAGGCTTAAATCAACGTTTCAAGATCAACTACGATTTGGGAAAATGAACGTAAGTGTTTTTCTATTACAAGAATGTAACTAAAAGAACTAAGTGAGGAGTGGGAACAAGGAGATTGGTTTGAGGAAAATGTGACCTGGAGAATAGAAACAAAGAATTTCGGAATTGGGGGGCTGGGAGATGGATACTAAAGAAATGGGAATTACATACGATACTAGTACGACTACAAATACTAGAATTCATGCAAGAATTGAATTCGAAAATAATGCACAAGGATAGAGAGGATAAATGGGTGTGGAAGAACGGTATGGTGGATTCATATATTCTGAAATTTGCTGTAAGAAGTTAGAGAACAACTGCAAAGGAGATCAAACAGATTCTATGATTTATTTCGTAAAGTAAAAGGAGTACTTGCTGAGGTGCACTTTGCATGAAGAGCGGATTTAGATAGAGTGTCAACAAAGGAAATTTTACGACATAGAAGAGATATAGTAAATAAACATATAATAGGTTGCATTAAAAAGGATCACTTCCACGTATATCAACAAGCAGATCATTTCCACATATATTAATATGTAAAATTTTGAAATTAGATGGTTATAATACTATACACTTTTATAATGACATGAGAAAGTTGTAATGTTGACAAGTGACAAAGCAATTCATATGATTTTCAAAAGACACAATAATACAGATCTTTGGATTATGCACAAGACCAATTTGCAAACAAATGCATCTCCTGACCAAAATGTTGTTAAGATTGGGTGGTTTGGCTGTAATTCATGTGAGTAACATAGACAACATATATAGTACCACTTGGATGTCTCAGATTTTTAACAAGCTATAAAAGGTGTGCTTGTTGTTTGTTGCAGAATTGGGATTAACACCACACTTGTTTCCAACGTTTGATTTTCTTGGATAATTATACTTTAACAACATTTTTTTATAACATTTTAACATCATCTACGTGTCATTCTGTGATTGATTCATGTTGGTGTTTATGATTATTATTATTGATTGTGGAGTAAATTTGGACCAATCACAGAATGACACGTAGGTGATGTTAAAATGTTGTCAAAAAAATGTTGTCAAAAAAATGTTATCAAACTATCATTATCCGATTTCTTTTAGAGATAGACTGAAAGATTGATTACTTTTCACGAATAAGTTTTTGGACCATGATACACTAGTAAAAAAACTGGATTTGAAATCGCACAATAGGCTTCGGTTGAGGCGGAACCGAAATCTATAAGAAAGCGGTGGCATTTTTGTAGTTTAGGTTAACTTTTCTGACCCGGTTTAAGGGGAACCGAGGCATATAGATAATATGACCTCGGTTCAAACCCCACCCGATGCCTAACACCCTGAGAATGCCTCAGTCTACTGGGACCCGAGGCACTATACCCTATCTTTCCATAACATTGTCCTCGCACATTTCACCCTCACATAACCTCTCCTCCACCTCCGCATTTCACCCTCACATAACCCTCTCCTCATCCAACAGTGCCCCCTTCTTCTCCTCCTACCCAAACCCTAACGACTCCCACCCTTCACCGTCGCGTCACGACGGCAATGGTGTCTCCTCCACCTCCGCTTCCTCCGCCTCCTCCAGATCCCTCAAAACCCCCTAATCATTCGCCCACAACTACCGGATCGCCATCGCCCTAATTCCATCCACCTTATTCCTCCTCGACCTCTGTGGCACCCCCGTCGTCGCCATCCTCGACGCCCTCAGCCTTAAGCCCGCCGCCTTCTTTGTCGTGTGGTTCTCCCTTATCTTCGCCCAGCTCGCCTTCTTCCTCTCCGCCTCCTCTCCCTCCTTGTCGCCTTCAACTCCTCCGTCGTCGTGGCTGCCATCGCCTCTTTCCTTTGCGCCCACACCACCTTTCTCCTCGGCGTCTAGTCCTCTCTCTAGTTCAAGTGACTCCTACTCGAAAACCCTTCCATTGTCGTTGCCCTCGAGCGCCTGCTCTTCGCTTGCCTCCCCGTCTCCGTCGCGGCGCCTCCTCCTGTTGGTCGACACCGGCAACGACCTTGTCTGGGTGAAATGCTCCGTTGCCGTAACTGCTCTACCAAGTGACCCAGATCCACATTCCTTCCCTGACATTCTAAAAGCTTTCTCTTTGTTATGGTTTAATTTTGGCTGCTCTTTGTTTTGGTTTTTTGTTTGTCTTTAGCAAAGATGGGAACTTTATGGTTTAATTTTGCACATGGTGAAGTCCTTCAAGGTGTTGCACGGAGGCGCATTGGCTTTGGTGGCAAAGGCTCTTGTGAGCATAGGCGCGTCAGAATTTGCCGCAAGGTGATGTAGTACCCCATTACTACTCCTTGTGGTCACAACTTCTGCAAAGCCTGTTTAGAGGGTGCCTTTGCCAGAAAAAGTTTGATGAGGCAAATGTCACGTTAAGGTGGTCACAAATAAGGTCTAGCCTTATTTGTATTTCTCTTTGTGTTCTGATTTACTTTGATGTTGATATGAAATCCCTTCGACTGTTTGGTGTGCAATTTTGAGTCTTTGGTGCAATTTCAGGGGTTCCCTTGTGCCACAAGAATGGCTATGAAGGTAATCAAAAGGGGTCCCATTTGAAACGTACTCGTATATTAGCAAAGGGTGTTCAAGTTCCAAGCAACAACCAAGGAGTTTCACCAAGCTTCTGTGGTTTACTTGGCACAGAATTCGAACCTCGTTTCGCATCTGATCAATGCCTTCGGTGCTTCCAAGCTTCGCACGCTTGATGGAAAACACGGTTCCATCATCGAATGTCCCCTTGAACACTTCATCGAATCCACCAATTCCAATCAAATTTTCTCGGGAGAAATCGTTCGTTGCCTTTCTTATCTCTCTACCGATGAAGATTCTTGATGATAAAGCACTAGCTTTCACACTTAAGTCTTCTTTTCTCTTATTAATTTTAGCCTCATTTGCTTTTCTTTTTGCTTGGTTATGCTTCTTGTAGAAGATCACTCCTGTGATTGCTAGAACAAACATCATTCCTCCTATGGAAACAACCACTGCCCGAAACAAGAGTTCATAACAAAAAAATTATAAATTTTCGTGCTTTTATCTTCATTTTTATGATTTATCTTATTGTTAGTTAGTGTGTATCATCTCACCATCAAGTAATAGAAAATTTCCCACTAATAAACGATTTATTGTTATATCTTGCAAAATTGTATCGCACGTGATCAGAACTGTTAAATGTTGAGCAGAAGAAAACTAAAGAGACTGATACACACATAAGACCCCCTTTGTCGCATGGTAAAAACCTCTATTGCCTCGGTTGCATTTGGACCGAGACAAAAGCATACATTTTTTTTGCCTCGGTTCAGACTCGAGGTAAAAAGTGATAGATTTTTTACCTCGCCTGTATATGCCTTGGCTGCAGAATCGGTGCAGATGGATAAAAATAACCGTTGTCGTTTCCCTTTATTGCACTAGTGATATGTTAACAGTTTTTTGACAATAGACTATGTATCACTATTTTATTGGTGTGTATATTTGAAACGGACCACGTAAGCGGTTGTAAAAAAGTTGTTAAAATTTTTTTTTCTAAGTTTTTCCACCTTACGCTACTTCCAATATAAGATTTTAAAACTTAACATTTATAAATTTTGTTTTTTTATACTTCATTCAACTTTTTTACTTTTATTCAAATTCACTTTCAATTTATATTTAAATATCTAATTCAACTTACCTAGACTTCTGACCTTCGGTGTTACCGACGGTCTATATCCATTGATAATGTTTTCAACTACACATTTGACGAATTTTTGGCCATCAAAAATCTGTTCATGATTATTATTTTTGGACATCAAAAAGTTGCAAAAAAAAACTTTTTCCTAAGTTTTTCCACCTTAAGCTACTTTCAACATAAAATTTTAAGACTCAATATTTATAAATTTTGTTTTTTTATACTTCACTCAACATTTTTACTTTTATTCAACTTCACTTTCCATTTATATTTAAATATCTAATACAACTTACCTAGACTTCTAACCTTCGATATTACCGACAATCTATATCCATTGACAATGTTTTTCAACTATATATTTATTGATGAATTTTTGACCATAAAATAATCTGTTGATAATTATTATTTATCAACGGTTTTTGGACATTACCAACGGATTTTGACCATGGTAAATCCAATCTTTTTTTGTAGTTATGTTTCTCATGTCAACACAGCATAAAAGCAAAACATAAACATAGACACTACCCTTATTAAACTTTATATACCTATATGCTACCAGACAACCGTGTGATAATTTGTAAACTATCACCAAAAAACCTTTTATTAACAACATTTTTATCTGTATATATTACATAACACTCAGACATAAATATAAATGACGAAAATTTACGTCAGATCTAAACTTCGACTTAAATTTACGTTAAACTTGGCTAGATTCAATCTAAATTTTGAATATTTATTTTTTTAAAATTTCATTTGGTTTTAGTTGATGAAATACAACTTGTTTTCAATACAATATAACTCTCAGCTAAAATTTCAATAAATATGTTTAATATAATCTAAAAATGAGCTAAAAAAATCTAAAACTATATATATATATATATATATATATATATATATATAAAAGCTCGGGAGGAAGGTTACTTGTTAATCTATATACCTTAAACAATCACATTAAATTAAAAAACAAAATGAAGATTCAAACCACTGACTTCAATAAAAAAAATGCTAAACCACAATCCAATTTAACAAAAGTCTCTCCCACATAAAACCATTCGTAGAGACTAAAAATGGAAAACAAAAAGAGCTTACCAAAAATTCTACTAGAAAAAAGAACGAGAACACTAAAATCGCAAAAAAAAAATGTGCATAAATATTATAAGAACATTTACGTCTAATATCTAACGTAAATTTTGAAAGTTTATTTACGTCGCACTATAACAGATGCAAAAACGTTGTTTTAAATTCAAATACAAAAATATCTGGAGACATTTTTCACGTGAAATCCTTGAAAGTTAAGTATATAATTTTGACGAATAACTCTTTTTCTAAGTGATAATTACCTCTTACAGCGTGTAACGTACGAGTTTCCCTGCATAGTTCTACAAGGCACATTCAGATATTAACCAAAGGGTACAGGGGAATACAAACTAAATTTAATTAATGAAAAATTTAAAACCAATTTTTAAGAAAAGTTAAAATCGTTAATCTTTTTTCGTAAAACTCATATTGTGAAATTGAGTTAGGCTTAAAGTTCACTTCTAACTAGTATTAAAATCATATTTGTTGTTCGTTAGGCATATTATTTTACCTAGACTGAACTTGCATTATTGTTACATAAACCACGAAATTAAAAATGTAATGCAGAAATCTTTAACAACGTGAATTTCATGCTACATTCTCCACTTTTATACGTATGTCTAAGATTCATTTTTATACGTCTATTTTTTTGAAAGAAGACATAGCAAGAATACATATAGAGCGAGGAACCAATCACATCATTCCATTACCATCGACGTTAGAATATCATCGATCGCAGACACTCAGAATTACATGATCAACTCCCTTGAAAATACAATATAAGGTGTCGAAAATGGAGACCTATAGTCATTGAAGAATAGAACAAAAGCCAGACACATAATTTATTATGACATTATCGTAGATAATAGATAGATATATATATTATTATTAGTTATATATTAGTATATGTTGGTGTGTGGATTTGATTTAACTGGTGTCTCTAGCACAATGCGTGATTTGGGAGCAACCACGAGTGTAAGGGTTGGCACGAGTCCTGTCCTGGCAATTGTAGTAGGAGGCTCCGCGGGTACCACATGGGATCTGGTTGGCATTGAGAGCACCATAGCTAATGTATTGTGCTCGTGAATTCAGTGTGCGACGGTTTGACTCAGAATCTAGCAGCATCTCATTGTCGTCTCCAACGAGATCCATACCAACTCCAGGGAAGCCAAATTCATGAACTTTGGAAGCTTCAGCCACCATGGCCAATGCCATGGCCAAGACCACCAAACACAGCCACACCTTGCACTTCATTTCAGAAGGGTATTCTAAGGTAGCTGATGAGTTTCTGTGTTGGTTCTTATTGGAATGGGAAAACAGAAAGAAAAAATCAAAGGCTCTGAGAATGCCTTTATCCCTGCCCTTCCTGCTCTAGGAGGGGACCAAGAGGATATAGGACAAAACTCTTGCCTAGGTAGTTACCTTGTAGGGTTAAAATAGGATAGGGTTTGTAGGGTATACACTTTCGTCGCTCTCTTACCTGTCAGTTAACCTAATTTTCTGTTATGCCCGTTTCTTCCTCCTTCTTTTTCTCTTCTGCCTTCCATTTTATTACCTTTTATGCCAGATACAGAATCAAGTGCATGTGTCATGCGTCACGAATATGCTATAAATGCAAAGGAACATGTTTATCTAACTAATAATAATGATGATCCTTTTCGGATACTATAATTAGAAATGTGTTTATTAGACATTAAGTCTGTCCAACGTTATTTACAAATGTCACGAATAGAAATAGTAAAAGATAATGTACACAATAATTAGACGTTTATAAAATGTAATAATATTACAGCGGACAGTGCTAACAGTAACAGATTGTTGCACTTGAAATTATAGGTTTGTTCACTCCTATAATAATCACCTTAAAATATTTTGTTAGCTCAACTTAAAAAAAAAAACATTTTTCTTTGAAAAAAAAGAAACATACAAATTCAAATGTATTAAAAAAAATGTTGTGACCTTCAACTCCATGTTAAAAAGTTAAGTGTGAATTTAATTTTCACGTTTAATAAAAATGAAAAGAATTAAGTACAATTTTTTTTATAAATTCATTGTCTTATTATAATTTTAAATTTGAAGTGGTCTGAATCCTTTATATAATGAACTCTTGTTTTTTGTTTAATTGTACCATTTTTCTTAAGTTATTAGCATCCACGGTAAATTTTGTCTCGTAAAATTTGTAATCTCAGTTTTATCATTATATTTTCTATCCTTTTCAAAGCTCCAATTAAACTCACAAAAATTCAAAGAAGCTTTCTATGGAATTGGGATTCCATGATAAAAATATAGCTGGGATCATGTAAGATAACTTATTTAAACCTAAAGATGACGGGGTGACATCGAAAACTTCAATATATCCTTCTTAACTAAATGGAAATGGAGATTAGGACCAAGGAGTGTGAAAATAGATACCCGAGTCAAAGTATTGGAAAGACATGTGCACATAATTTTGGCTTCTTTTTACAAGTAAAAATATCTGAAGTTAAAAAAGGAGAAAGATGTAATCCCAGGAGTAGGTCTTATTTTTGTTGAAAATCCTAAAAATGTAATTCTAGAGGAAATTTGCTGAAGAACTGAAAATACGGTTGAATCCTAGAACGAACGTGTTCACATATATTAGGACCTAGGAGACAAACCAGCAAGAGGTCTGAACTTCTGTGGAGGATGTTATCCATTCATGGTTATTTAAATTCGACAACGTGCTTGATATTTTGTTTTGACTGGCTTGTTTCCAGTTTCCTCTTGTCAGCCATAGAAAGTAGCAAATTTCTTATCTTTAGACTGATTATTAGAATGCAAAATCAAAGTAGGTTGTTATGTAAACAACTTATAATTGTAAGTCATATAATGATATTAAGGGGAAAGACTAGAAGAAGTTTTTTTTTTCTTCAAATTACAAGGACTAAAAGGGTCAATTTTAAATTTGAAAGGATAAATGGATATCGAGTATGGTGGCTATAATTTCAATCTGTTTTGAATGAAGTTATTAAGGATTAATAAGTTGAATAGGCAATGTGATGATTTAGTTGATTTAGTTTACTTAAAAAATTACATAAGTTTATTATATTATTATCTTGATTTATTTTAATAAATATTGAAATTGAATAATTTATATATGTATTTTTATTTATTATTAATTTACTTAATAAAATCACTTAAAACTACTAGATTACCATTTTAATTTGTTTGACAATAATATAAAAAATATTACTTATTTTAT